TTGTGGTTCTATATAGAACCAATTTCTTTACTAACCACTTTTTTTTTTTCACAGTACCACTTACAGTTGGCTGGGGCATAAATTTCACAAACTGATTTGTGGCAAATGTGACATCATCTGACAGCCACATTTGAGTCACTGAGCTCTTCAGTACGACCCATTCTGCTGCCAGTGTGTGTCTATGGAGACTGCAAGGCTATGTACTTGATTTATACACCTGCTAGCAATGGATGTGGCTAAAACACCTGAGTTTAATAATTAGGAGGTTAGTATGTTATAATTAGTAATGAGTATGTACAACCCCTTTTCCAAAAAAAGTTGGGACGCTGTGCAGAATGTAAATAATAATAGAAGGCAATAATATGTAAATCATGTAAACCATATTTTCAAAGGGAAATACTACAAAGACAACATATCAAATGTCGGAACTGAGAAATTTTATTGTTTTTGGAAAAATATATGCCCATTTTGAATTTGCTGCCAACACGTTCCAAAAAAGTTGGGAGGGGGGCATTTTTACCACTGTGCCAATGTTATCAGTGGTGAAAGGTCTGGACTGCAGGCAGGTCAGTTTAGCACCCAGACTCTTTTAATATGGAGCAATGCTGCTGTAATACATGCAGAATGTGGTTTGACATCGTCTTGCTGAAATAATCAAGGCCTTCCCTGAAAAAGACGTCGTCTGGATGGCAGCTTATGCTGCCAAAACATGTATGTATCATTCAGCATTAATGGTGCCTTCACAGATGTGCACGTCACCCATGCCATGTGCACTAATGCCCCCCTATACCATCATAAATACTGGCTTTTGAACTGTGCACTGATAACAAGCTGAGTGGTCTTTAGCCGGAGGACACAGTGTCCATGATTTCCAAGAAGAATTTCAAATGTTGACTCGTTGCACCACAGGACACTTTTCCAATTCACCTCAGTCCATTTTCGGGCCCAGAGAAGGTGGCAGCATTTCTGGATCCAGTTTATATTTGGTTTCTTCTTTGCGTTTTAGAGTTTTAACGTGCATTTCTGGATGTAGCGACAAACTGATTTCACAGACAGTGTTTTTCAGAAGTGTTTCTGAGCCCATGCAGTGATTTCCTCTACAGAATCATGTCTGTTTTTAATGCAGTGCTGCCTGAGGGCCCAAAGATCACGACCAGCAAATACTGGTTTTTGGCCTTGTCCCTCACATACAGAGATTTCTCCAGATTCTCTGAATCTTTTAATGATATTCTGTACCGTAGATGATGAAAAACAGAAGTTCTTTGCTGTTTTACGTTGAGAAACGTTATTCTTAAATTGTTGCACTGTTTGATGGTGCAGTCTTTCACAGAGTGGTGAACCCCTCCTCATCTTTACTTCTGAAAGACTCCGCCTCTCTGAGATGCTCTTTTATACCAAATCATGTGACTGACCTGTTATCAATCAACTACCAGGTGTTTTTTAAGCATTTTTTAAGTGTTTTTTACCAGCCTTTTGTTGCCCCCGTCCCAACTTTTTTAGAACGTGTTGCTTGCATCAAATTTAAAATCGGCATATATTTTTCAAAAACAATAACATTTCTCAGTTTCAACATATGTTGTCTTTGTACTATTTTCAATGAAATATAGGGTTTAAATGATTTGCACATCATTGCATTTTGTTTTAATTTACATTTTGCACAGCATCCCAACTTTCTTGGAAATGGGGTTGTAGTATGTCTCTACTTATTTTCTGGTCATACAGTGTATGTTGGATTACATGAGTACCTTAATTAATCAAAACACCCACAGAAACCATTTAGAATTGTGCTTGATTGAGATACAGCGCACAATAAAAACACTGTGATTACTGTGATCTTTCACATTTACTGTGCAGCCCCGTCACATATATTTCTATTATAGCCTCAAATATGTGTTCTTGACAAACTGACATTACAGGCTGTGCAGAACCTGAGTGATAACCGATAGCGTGGGCTACTTTGACTTTTACTTTCCGTTTAAATATCAGCTCAAAGTGATGATGGGCGCTCTCCACAAATACCCCAGCTAGCTGTAATTGGAGAATCATCAAGGTCAAAAGCTTTTAGCAATAATGAGACTGAAAGCTGAGGTTACTTAGAGCTTCTATCATCTCACTGAGTTGCTTTTTAAATAGAACTTTGTCACAAAGTTCATTATTGTGGTTTCATTACTTTAAAGTCAGCCTGCAATTGACAAAACTGACCTTTTTAACCTTGTTGACATTAAGCAAGAGTCCTTACGTCTTTTAATTTAAAAGACTGAATTGTTGTTTCCCCATATTCTTTCATGAAAATTGAAGACTATAGACTCACTCAGAGACCCTCATACTGTGTTTTGTGCACAGATATGTCTTGTTAAAGTCACCATGTTATATATCTACACACCAATCAGGCATAACATTATGACCACCTCCTTGTTTCAATGCTCATTGTCCATTTTATCAGCTCCACTTACTATATAGGTGCACTTTGTAGTTCTACAGTTACAGACTGTAGTCCATCTGTTTCTCTGATACTTTGTTAGCCCCCTTTTACCCTGTTCTTCAGTGGTCAGGACCCCCATGGACCCTCACAGAGCAGGTACTATTTGGGTGGTGGATCATTCTCAGCACTGCAGTAACACTGACGTGGTGGTGGTGTGTTAGTGTGTGTTGTGCTGGTATAAGTGGATCAGACACAGCAGTGCTGCTGGAGTTTTTAAACACTGTGTCCACTCACTGTCCACTCTATTAGACACTCCTACCTTGTCAGTCCACCTTGTAGATGTAAAGTCAGAGACGATAGCTCATCTGCTGCTGCACAGTTTGTGTTGGTCATCCTCTAGTCCTTCATCAGTGGCCACAGGACGCTGCCCACAGGACGCTGTTGGCAGGATATTTTTGGTTGGTGGACTATTCTCAGTCCAGCAGCGACACTGAGGTGTTTAAAAACTCCAGCAGCACTGCTGTGTCTGATCCACTCAGACCAGCACAACACACACTAACACACCACCACCACGTCAGTGTTACTGCAGTGCTGAGAATGATCCTCCACCCAAATAGTACCTGCTCTGTGAGGGTCCATGGGGGTCCTGACCACTGAAGAACAGGGTAAAAGGGGGCTAACAAAGTATCAGAGAAACAGATGGACTACAGTCTGGAACTGTAGAACTACAAAGTGCACCTATACAGTAAGTGGAGCTGATAAAATGGACAATGAGCGTAGAAACAAGGAGGTGGTCATAATGTTATGACTGATTGGTGTATATATGTATATATATTCCTTCAGTTCACCTTCAGTTCATTTACACTTACAGCACACAATAACAGCCTATTGTATTTCAGACCTAACCTAACAAAATCTGTGCATGTCACTGGGAAACGAATAATAAATGTTTGTGCAGATAAAATGCATGTGTTCAACTAAGAATTAAAGCATTACATTAAAACAAGCAATGAGTCCACAAAACGTTATGGTGGATGGTATATGGGCCTACAGGTATAGAATCTTGCAATATCTGAGCTGAAGATGTGCTTCAATTACAACAATCTTGCCTTAAACCTCAGCAAAACCATGTCTTTAGCAGGTTTACGATAAGCCTCAGTTAAACCTGAGATACAGTGACATCTAGTGGCAGATGTGTGATTTTTTTAATGACAAAGCAAGTGGGTTTAGTTTAAACGGCAGGTGCTTGTTGTGACATATGATTTTGAATTATGAGGACTGTGGAAAATGACTGATCATCTCAAATAACTGAGATCCTCTGAAATGAGTGCAATTACATTATTATGTCATTAGGCCATGGACTGGAGGTTAGGGAACCAGCCCTGTGACCGGGAGGTCACCAGTTTGAGCTGACTGAAGTGCCCTTGAGCAAGGCACCTAACCCCCAACCGCTCCCCGGGTGCCATGGATAGGGCTGCCCACCGCTCCCTCGTGTGTGTGTTCACTAGTGTGTATGTGGTGTTTCACTGCATGGATGGATCAAATGCGAACGTGAAATTTCTTCGTTGTGGGACTAATAAGGGTCTCTTAATCTTCATCTTAATCTTAATGTAATAACTGTGACAGGCCCTAGTCATTTGTAATAGATTATTTTTCTTGGTAACTACCCCAACACTGAGACCCAATCCCATTTCTTCTTTTTACCCCACCCCTCGTTTCGAGTGTCACCCTAACCCCTTGGAACTGAGTTACAAGGGGTTGTGGTTGAAATCTTCCCTCTGAAATGGGACCCTCAAATAAAAAGAGCATCACTTCATTAACAGCTACCAGCGCTGCTCTGTAGGAGACCCTGCCAGTCTGCAGTGACAGCAGAGGAGGGTAAAGTTCAGCTCCTCACTGCTGGGCTTTAGTTACATTTAGGACATCATATGATCTTCAAAGAGGGGGGCAATTATTTATTATCACCACCCCTAATTCTTCAGTGATATGAAGCTGAAGTCAGATATTCACCAGATTCTTGTTCCAATTTTCCTGTTCCACCTTAAATCGAGCAGCAGTTACATTTTGGTGCTTCAGGCCTCAGAACTGCTGGACTATTTAAGGTGGAACGGGAAAGTTAGCTAGCTAGCTACTGAGACATTAGCATGCTATTAGCGATTTTTTGTGCTTGTTATGAAGAAAAGGACCATAATACACTGAAACGACATTAAACTAAGATAAAACAATGATTTTCATAATATTCATAATATTTTAACAGAGAAAATTCTCACATTTGTGGGTTTCTTTGGTCTCTTGTTCAGCCATCTTGCTGGTTTTTCTTTTTTTCTCATAACTCTCTGTTTGGAGTCTCTCTGAAAAACCTCAGTTTGGAGATCCATGTAGTCCTAACACTTCGCCCTACCCCTCTATCTCAACAAGAATCGACACACCCTACCCCTAGACGTGAACGCACAAAACAGAGGGCTAAGGGCTGAGTGGTATGGGCGAGGGGTGACATGGGGATTGGGCCTGAGTGTAACATAAAGTAAGTAAAAAAAATCAACGAATCGGGAAACGATACTGAACACAGTTTGCTTACCAGTTTGGGGGATGTGCAGTGGGGGGGACTCTGTGGGGGATGCGGAGAGGGTCGTGGTCTGGGCTGGGCCGAGTGTCTGCAGCTGGAGCTCTCTCTCTCCTCTCTTTCCTCTCAGAACTCTCTCCTTTCGCTGCAGGTAGCAGTGATGACTTCAGCTTCTTAGTCAAATCTTCTGTGTTCTTAAACACACTAAAGAAAGATGAGGGTTCTGCATTAAAACACTACAATATACACAACTTCATCATGCTTCAATTCTATTATGGCCATTGAAATACACAGACGGCATCCCATGAAGAGACGGATACTGTAGAACAGTGGTCACTAATAGGCGGACCGCGGTCCGAGTCTGGACCCAGACGTTGTCCTAAGTGGACCTGGACCTATAACCGATAAACTATGGAGAATTATTTAATTTTGACGGGGTGGTCCTATTTTAATCGGCGTAGGTTTTCTAGCCTTTACGGTAGCTTTAGCGGCCCGGGAGACTCGGACCAATCACATGTATTGTAAAACAAAAAGATCTGTGCGTTACGATGGAGGGACGAGGTGAGAAACAGCAGTCGGAGAAGAAAGTGAGTCAGAGGGAAGTTATGTCATGGTGTTCCCTGAATTCTACTTTATTTGTTTTGACATTCAGTTGTTGACTGTATAAGATGCTGATATACCTACTAGGCTACTTCAGTAAACAGTATATGACACTGAATCACGATGCAAATTAGACATTATGATGTTCTGGACCTTTGCTTGAGGATATTGTCTCTAACTGGACCTTACTGAATTTTAATATTAATTTTAAGACCCCTGCTGTAGGAGACACTCTTTTTAAAAAGTTTTTGCATTATTAAATGGTTAAGGTGTAAACAAAGTTATTTAGATGTGAGAAATGCTCCGTTCTAGAAGAACTTAAGTCAGAATTGTTCACAATATATTTTTAAATACATTTATGGTGGAGGGATACATGCAACCTTTCCACGATTTTACCATCATCAGCATTCCAAAACAACAATGTTAACTGTAAAACTAAGTAAAATAAAACAGATTTACTGAGTAAAAACCTTTGTGTTTTTTTCAGTGTGTTTCTTCTATGTTCGGCCATCTTTAAGGATAGCCGGAGCCGAGCTGAGCTCAGTCTACTGCTGTGTTCATTTTATTGTACCCTTATCAAATATCTTCTATCAATCATTCATCAAAATACCAAAAACTGAAACCACATAAAAACTAAACTAATATGACACAAAACTAAAATTTATCAGTTTTAATTAAAACTAAATTAAAATGTAAAACCAAAAGATCAAGTTGCAATCAAGACACAAAATAAAAAAACAAAACAAAACTTAAATCTATAATAAAAAACTTTTACTTTTCTAACTTACTAAGATTTCAAAATTATAATAATCCTGGTGTGCACATCTTCATTCAAATATTTTGTCTACTTGCTCATGGAAGTTGTACTGAATTACTGTTAGTCAGTTATTCCTGAGCTGTAGGGCTGAAAGATTAATTGTTTTATATTGAAATCGCAATTTAAGAGAGAGCAATTTTCAGAACACAAAAACTGCATTTTTTTTTTTATTATAGCCTATATTATCAAAAACATTGTCTTAAGCGGGGAAATTGAACCTAATAACACAGAGCTTTTGAACAGTCTGTAGATAAATTAGATCAATCAGAGGCAACCAAACCTCCATGCATTGTGACATCACAACCACAACTTACTGGCTGTCTGCCGCCCTACACTCAGGGGTCGAGCCTAAAGTTAGAAAAAATGGATAATTCTGGTCTTCTTGGGAAAAAAAGCTCGAACCTTTACCTCTTATGCTTTGTGGGTATATTTAGGTTTTTTCCATCTGAATTTACATGCCCAAATCGTAAGGCAAATTATTCAGTAACTGCATGAAATAAATGTTTAATACATTTTTGTTTTCTTTGTAAAAGCTCCCCTCAAATGAACAGAAAATGTGTTTTATGATCACAAGCATATTGCTATATGCTTACAATTTACTGCTGAAAGCCAAAATATTAGATGCTCTTTGTATTTTTTTATAAAAATATTTTTTTTACAGTGCAGATCACTGAAGAGACGCCATCTAAGATCCAGTTTGTAGCTCAGACTTGTGGAAAAATGGGTCGACTTTCAGTGGAAAAAAATTGTTCAGCTTCTTTTATTATAAGGGTTTAAAACTACATCAGCCATCTATTTGACTGGAAAGAAGACAGTCACAGCTCTCATATGACACCCAGCTTTAGAATGAAGCTTATAAAATAAGAAAGTTATGAAGTTTTGGAACCACCGGTGGTCTCAAGGAGTTAAAAAGGTTAATTTATAGACAATAATCACAATTTAAATCGCAGTCGCTATATTAGTCAGAATAATCGCAATTAGATATTGTCCCCTGAATTTTTCGACCCTAATTATAACAATAACTATAATATCAAACATTTCCCCACTGCACAAGGCATCAATTACAAGATCTCAGCCCTACAAGACAAAAGTACAGGGGCTTCAAAACTATATAAACTAAGGAAGAAAGAACTACAGGTGTGAAAAGTCTGAAAACTAACCTTTCAAATGTGTGCAGGCTGGCCTCGTCTACATAATCAGAAACGTTAACAGTCAGGTCTGTTACTTTGTCCGTAGCCGAGTCCTGAAACAGGAAAGACAGAAGTGAAGGCTTAAAAATGATCCATACTTGGATCCAGGATCATACAGGAGCTTGTGTTTAACAGTCATTACCATTAAATTGAAGATGACGGTGGAATCCACTGTGATGGCCTTGAGCAGCAGGTTGGACTTGTCATCATTTGATCTGTATCTCAGTGTGTAGAGCTCCTTACTCGCATTCCAGGCTGCAGGAAGTAACTCTGACTTCTTCTCTCCATCTCGAGGCTGCAAGACAGAGAGACTTGAGCCTTATTCTGTATAATACTGTACACAGACTTCATTATCTACACTCAGGACCCTCACAGAGCAGGTACTATTTGGGTGGTGGATCATTCTCAGCACTGCAGTAACACTGACGTGGTGGTGGTGTGTTGCGCTGGTCTGAGTGGATCAGACACAGCAGTGCTGCTGGAGTTTTTAAACACTGTGTCCACTCACTGTCCACCCTATTAGACACTCCTACCTTGTCAGTCCAACTTGTAGATGTAAAGTCAGAGACGATAGCTCATCTGCTGCTGCACAGTTTGTGTTGGTCATCCTCTAGTCCTTCATCGGTGGTCACAGGACGCTGCCCACAGGACGCTGTTGGCTGGATATATTTGGTTCTCAGTCCAGCAGTGACACTGAGGTGTTTAAAAACTCCAGCAGCACTGCTGTGTCTGATCCACTCGCACCAGCACAACACACATTAACACACCACCACCATGTCAGTGTTACTGCAGTGCTGAGAATGATCCACCACCCAAATAGTACCTGCTCTGTGAGGGTCCATGGGGGTCCTGACCACTGAAGAACAGGGTAAAAGGGGGCTAACAAAGTATCAGAGAAACAGATGGACTACAGTCTGTAACTGTAGAACTACAGAGTGAAACTATACGGTCAGTAGAGCTCAAAAATGGACAATGAGTGTAGAAACAAGGAGGTGAACTGTGTATATAGAGTGTATATCAGGAGTGTATAAACTTTAAACAAACTGCTGTCTTGTACTGAACAGAAATATGAAAACATAAATAAAACAGTCAGGGTTGCTCAGAGCAAAATCAAACAATTGCCACACGCCTGAGTCTGATTCGCAGGGATGCCAGATCCTCACAGTTATGTAAGCTACATTATTATGAAAATGCAAATTCTAAAAAAAAATGCATGATGTTTTGCTTGAGGATTTCTGCTCTGTTTACATTTCTAGGATCAGTTCCAGACTCAACCTCAGTTTTTTTTGTCACTTCAAGATGCTCCCGAAAAAACTCAGAGCAGATAACCTGCAAAAAAATGAATGAAACTATATAATTACAGTATAATATGTATTATTTAATAATGCCTTGCTGACAAAATTCTTGAAATACCAAATATAACACCTAAAATACCTCTTCACAAATAGGTTGTAATATATAATACCACACAGGACAAGTTATTATTGTGTATAAATGAACAAATATTGTTAATATAGCAACTAATTCCAAACTTTTGAATGGTAGCAAAATAAATATAATCTAAACTATATGTATATATTCACTGATCAGGCATAACATTCTGACCACCTCCTTGTTTCTACGCTCATTGTCCATTTTATCAGCTCCACTTACTATATAGGTGCACTTTGTAGTTCTACAGTTACAGACTGTAGTCCATCTGTTTCTCTGATACTTTGTTAGCCCCCTTTTACCCTGTTCTTCAGTGGTCAGGACCCCCATGGACCCTCACAGAGCAGGTACTATTTGGGTGGTGGATCATTCTCAGCACTGCAGTAACACTGACATGGTGGTGGTGTGTTAATGTGTGTTGTGCTGGTGCGAGTGGATCAGACACAGCAGTGCTGCTGGAGTTTTTAAACACCTCAGTGTCACTGCTGGACTGAGAATAGTCCACCAACCAAAAACATCCAGCCAACAGCGTCCTGTGGGCAGCGTCATGTGACCCCTGATGAAGGCCTAGAGGACGACCAACACAAACTATGCTGACACACATGAGCTGCTGTCTCTTACTTTACATCTACAAGGTGGATCAAGAAGGTAAGAGTGGACAGTAAGTGGACACAGTGTTTAAAAACTCCACACCACCACCACGTCAGTGTTACTGCAGTGCTGAGAATGATCCACCACCCAAATAGTACCTGCTCTGTGAGGGTCCATGGGGGTCCTGACCACTGAAGAACAGGGTAAAAGGGGGCTAACAAAGTATCAGAGAAACAGATGGACTACAGTCTGTAACTGTAGAACTACAAAGTGCACCTATATAGTAAGTGGAGCTGATAAAATCAAGGAGATGGTCATAATGGCGCATATTAACATATTAAGGCCATTAATTAATATAGAGGCCACAAATGACTAAATCGAGACTACAATTTAATTAACTGAGGCTAGGAATCACTATACTGAGCCTACGAATTAATATAGTGAGGCCACGACTTAGAAGACACCGATCAGATAGGTTACAGTTTGAGCAGGGCTGCTGCGTCACTGTGTCACAGTCACAGTGAGTCATGCTTTGTTAGCTAACGTAGCTGCAACAAGAAGCCAAAAATATCAGCAAATTGATTCGTTTAATCATCTGCAGCACCACTAACCGGCAAAAATACCCCAACACGGCCCTGACAGCTTAAAGTGGCGGATCTTTTCACCGTTATGTGCGGCGCTACTGTGCGTTAACCTCAGTGAGGGAGACTCAGTCAGCCCCTCTCTCACCTCGTCTCCAGCTCCCAGACACTTAAATCCGCCCTTTACGATCTCCCAGTGCACAAAACACACCAGCACATCCTGAGGAGCTGTTATAGAGCTCGACACGCAGTTATACAAGACCTCCAGTCCCGCCATGATTCCGCAAAACTGCAAGAAACGAAACCAAAACAGTCCGTTAGCGCGTTTGTTTACATCGGTCTCGCTGAATTGTGTCCGGAATCGACGCAACGACCACGTCTTTTGGTTCCGGCAGCACTGACAACTCACACGTTCTCACTTATTAAAAAAAATAAAGGGGAATTCCACCTTTTTTTCAAAATTCATAATAATAATAAAAATATAATAAGATAACTTAGGATGTAAACAGAGTCATTCAGAGTGGTTTGATGTGAAATGGTTCACTGTAGAGACTCTGAACTTTACTTATTGTGTTATTTCAGGTTATATATGTGAAATAATCAGATTGGATTCGTTTTTCCCCCTCTAGTATTTTCCATCAAATTTCCCCAGTTTGTACATAATTCAGTGTTGAGATGTAAACGGAGTGATTCAGAGTGGTTTGGTGTGAAGTGGTTCAGATGTCTTGGTGATGGGAACCAGGCGTCGCCATGACTACAACACAAATATAGACATTTTATTTACTATTCAGAACCACCAGTGAACCTACACGAGTCTTCTGAGTTTATATGTAATATGAGAAAAATGGGAAAATTGTGAAAAATCTGAAATAATAAGTTTTATTTTGCATCGCAACGCACTACGTGTCCCTCCGTCATGAACGCATTGAAGTAAATGGATTAAAATGCATTTTAAGCCAAAAGTTTAGCAGCGCAATAAAAAATAAAATTAAATTAAAAAAAAGGTCTCAGGCAGTGAATTCATAACCATTACATATAATAACTTTCTGTGAGGGAGCTTTTAGAGGTGGACGTCTGGTTCCTATCACCACCACTGTGAATAATTCTGACTCTAAGTTTCTCTAGAACAGAGCGTTTCACACCAAACCACTCTGAACCGCTCTGTTTACATCTTAACCATTTAATTACATAAAATTTCTGAAAAAATGGTGGAGTTTCCCTTTAATAGTGTATGAATATTTATGTTTATATATATTTTTAGAAAAATACTGTAAAATGCTGTCACTGAAAGTACACAAAGATGAAATTATATGCTTATATATGCTTGTTATATGTGCTCATATGTATATATGTATATATGTATGTTGTAGCCTGTAGATGGCAATATTGACTTTTAAACATTTCTGCTCTCTGACAGTGAAGCACTGATACAATATCATATCTCATGTGTATGCACGAAAGAATTAAATATGAATAAATTAAAGAGAAAAAGCTCTCATCAGCTCAAAACAGACGTTAGACCCTCAAACATGAATGACTAATAGTTTATTTATTTATGTATGAATGTGTTTATTTATACTCTTAAAAAACTTGATTCTGCAAGGGTTCTTTAGTAAAGACCATGGTTCTACATGGTTTAATGTTTCTTTGCCTGGTGAAATGGTTCCTCGCTATTACAAGCTTTACATTGTAACAATATCAAAACCCTTTTTTGGTGCTGTGTAGAACCATTTTTAAAAAGTTTCAATACAGAACCATCTACAACACACTCCTCACCAATCTGAAGAACCATTTCACCATGCAAAGAACCCTTTAAACCCAAAATAGCTCCATATAGAACCATTGTCTTTACTAAAGAACCCCTAAAGAATCATCTTTTTTAAAAGTGTACTTAGCATGTTTTATAACATTTAGATAATCTAGATAAGCTATTTCAAGTGGGAAGAGTGGACAATGTTCATTTTCAATCATTTTTGTGATAAATTACATCATACAGCTCTTTCCTGAACACAAGATGAGTTTGATCAGCAGTTCTAGAACACTGAACAACTGCACATCATAAAAAACATATTTAGATCAATTATATAGAGCCTGTAAACAACACCATCTATATTATTATAGTATACCACATAGTAACAAGCCGCTGATTGGATGCCAGCCTTGGTCCTATCAGGTAATTTATTTATTTAATAAAGTTATTTTATTTATTTTTACCACGTTTGATTTTCTAACCACTCTGACACTTTGGAAATAACTTATTTTTGTTAATGTTGAATGAAAAAATAAACTCTCTCAATTGTTCATAGCCCTTTTAAATGTACAGTGCTGTGCATATTCAGCTTCAGAATAAAAAGCAGAAAATATAAACTGTTAGAAATAAAGGTTCTGTTCAGGTACATTTCTTGTTCATCAAGGTACAAACAGTGTAAATGTTCCCTCAAAGGTACAACAGTGGTTTTAAGGTCTGATTGTGAACCTTAAATAAGTTTTTCCAGGTGAAAAGTTCGTATTTGTACCTTTTCATAACCGAATGTTTTAAACAGAACAGTAAAATAAAAGCCTGGAGACGAGACGGGGTGTGTGGAGTCAGTACAGCTTAGAACATATCATTTCAGTGGATTATGGTTCAGTTATGTTCCCTGACTAAAGGTACATGAGATGGACCCTAGAAGGTCCCACCCCAGTGACAAGAGGGGTCCTGCTCCAGTGACAGTTTAGTACCTTTTCACCAGGAAAATAATTATTTAAGTTTCACAACTGACTGTTTTGTTTGGACTGCTTGGACAGGAGACTTACGCAGTGTCAAGTAAAGTATATGAGCCCTTTGGAATTACTTAGTTTTCAGCATTAACACACTAACCGGGCACTTTATCAGGAACACCTCCTTGTTTCTATGCTCACTGTCCATTTTATCAGCTCCACTGACCATATAGTTTCACTCTGTAGTTCTACAGTTACAGACTGTAGTCCATCTGTTTCTCTGTATACTTTGTTAGCCCCCTTTTACCCTGTCCTTCAGTGGTCAGGACGGCCATGGACCCTCACAGAGCAGGTACTATTTGGGTGGTGGATCATTCTCAGCACTGCAGTAACAGTGACGTGGTGATGGTGTGTTAGTGTGTGTTGCGCTTGTCTGAGTGGATCAGACACAGCAGTGCTGCTGGAGTTTTAAACACCTCAGTGTCACTGCTGGACTGAGAATAGTTCACCAACCAACAGCCAACAGCGTCCTGTGACCACTGATGAAGGACTAGAGGATGACCAAAACAGATAGCAGATGAGCTATCGTCTCTGAATTTACATCTACAAGGTGGACCGACAAGATAGTAGTGTCTAATAGAGTGGACAGTGAGTGGACACACTTAAAATGATGGTTCTTTGGTAAAGAAAATGGTTCTATATAGAGCCATGAACACTCAAAGAACCATCTGCATGATTAAATGGTTCTTTGCCTCATAAAAGGGTTCTTCATATTGATGGAGAATGTGCTGTAGATGGTTTTACTCAGAATCTTTTTGAAAAGGGTTCTATATAGAACCAAAAAGGGTTCTTCTATTGTTATAATGTCAAGCTTGTAGCAACAGAAAAATCCTTTTTGGTACCATGTAGGACCATTTTCAAAAAGGTTCTATATAGAACAATCTACAGCACATGCCATCAATCTGAGGAACTATTTCACCATGCAAAAAACTTTTAATCACACAAAGGGTTCTTTGAGTGTTCATGGTTTATATAGAACCATTTTCTGTACTAAAGAAAGTTTGAAGAACCATTTTTTAAGAGTACGATTTAAAACCCACGAGGCTTTACTTCAGCTAACCTGCTGGTTGAGTAATTATTCAGTATTAACTGAAGAGAGGCTTTCTTTTCAGTGCTCAGCAGAGCAGCAGAGCTGAATGACAGTCCCACGTGGCTTTTGGAGAACTTCCATCAGCTTGAACTTTAAAGACCCACGGACCCCCGATTGAGTTTCCTTTTTTAGTGTCTCATTTTCTTTGATTAAGTGCAGCTTAAACAAATAAAACCTTTATAGCAACGAATGCTCAAACCTTCTGGGCAGTTTTTAAAGCTATGACATGCTGAAAACATTTACCTGCCGACAGCGCTGGACTGCATTACGCTTTAACATAATTCACAATTAATGGGTTTTTTTTTTTTTGGAAATCCTTAAAAGGCCTCACATTAACGTGAAAATTATTCAAAACATCACCTCGACACATGATTTATGCCTGCAGCTTTGCAGTGGAGAGGAAGGACCCACAACCCCGAGGCATGGTTTTCAATTGGAATAATCCAAGCATTGATTTTATTGAGGACATTTTAAACTTTAAACTGTTTTAGGAAGTCACGACAACAGAAAAGTGTGACCTTTTCACAGATTTGGCTTTGAGGTGGATTAAAGGGAAACACTGTGCGAAAGTCAAAGACCACCCTCCATTTATTAATCAAGAAACAATTTACGATGCAAAGAACCGTTTAAGCATTGCAATTTTATCCACCACGATGTCATTGTACAGTTTAGACTCCAGGCTGCTCTGAAATGTAGTCTTAGTGACATGTATCAGAACTAAGCGTAAACAGAGGGCTTTAACTAACTGCTGCGATTTTGAGGGTTATATAAATTCACTGTAAGCTCTTCATAACTGAGCATCATTAAGCAGTAACTCTGCCCTTTGTTCATCCAGTCAGTTATAAATCAGTCTGTTCGGCCTGCTTCTCATGCCAAATTTGCCAAACCACAACAGACATAAAGTAGCATGAGTACACAAATCAATCTGGACAGCAATCATGCAAAGTCAAAAATTATTTGCAGTTTGATACATTTCAACTTTATTTTTACAACAGCCACTGTCACCAAGCCAGACCCCTAATGAGGGGGCAGAGGACGACGGACAGGAAAGAAACTCAGAGAGCATGAGGGAGAACCACTGAGAGGAACAGCAGGAGCTCCCAGAGAGCGTGAGAAAGAACCACGGAGAGGAACCGAGAGTGAACAATAGGAGTTCCCTTAGAGCATGAAGAAGAACCTGAGAGGAACCGAGACTGAACAGGAGGAGCTCCCTTAGAGCATGAAGAAGAACCTGAGAGGAACCGAGACTCAACAGGAGGAGTTCTCTTAGAGCATGAAGAAGAACCTGGGAGGAACCGAGACTGAACAGGAGGAGTTCCCTAAAAGCATGAAGAAGAACCTGAGAGGAACTGAGACTCAACAGGAGGAGCTCCCTTAGAGCATGAAGAAGAACCTGAGAGGAACCGAGACTGAACAGGAGGAGTTCCCTTAAAGCATGAAGAAGAACCTGAGAGGAACCGAGACTCAACAGGAGGAGCTCCCTTAGAGCATGAAGAAGAACCTGAGAGGAACC